ATAATTCTGCTCTAACAAACAGCAATTAGAATTTAACCTTACAAATGTTAAGTTATGCAGACTGAAGACAGGCAAAAGAAGACCGCAAATGGAATACAGGTTCCTGGCGCAAAGTCTGCAAGCTTCTCTGAGGGAGAAGGGCCGCGGGGTGAACTTTGAAGGATTGGTACCAAAATAACTGCATATTAATACCAGATGTTTGGCAGACAGTGTAATATACCCTGGTGAAATACTGGCGAGCGATGAGTATACCAGTCGACTAACACTCATGGTGTCTACTTGCTCGTTAGGTGAGCTGGATAACAGGTGTAAGGAAACACGCGCAGTGTTTCCTCCCTTGCTGAGGATCGAACCAAGGAGACTTATTGTGTGAGGCGAGAGTGTTGCCTACCAGGCCACGGGCCATCCCTACCCTGCTAAAATCGGTGATGTACGACAAGATATTTGCTGAGTTGGAGGACATGAGTAATAAACGATACATAAATTTTTACAGAAGATGGCGAATTAGACTGAAGCGATTTAAAACCTCCAACAACTATTTAAAACACACACAAGTGATATGACTGCAAACATTAATTAGTTTCTGTTGCTCAGAAGGCGGTGATGTGTTTTCCATGAAGACAGTACAATGTGTTAAGAAAATCTCCTATTGAATTCTATTAGGACTTGTGTGTTAGTTCGCTGGTGGTATTTCTCAGTGATTCTTGTGATGATCTCTCCTGTCAGTACCATCAGTGGGTCAGCGGAAGGGACGTTAGGTGTGTTTTTTTAGCCCACTACCGTGGAATTTCTCGCCCTTTTTACCTGAAGCAAGGAGAGGCGACACACTTCACTTGCTTCTGAACGTCTCTCTCGCTGTATAGCCCTTGTGGTTTAGCGCTTCTTTTTGATTATAATAATTCTGAACGTCTCGTAAGTTTTGCTGTTTGTTCTTCAAATTTTATAAAGATAGACTGCAGAATTTACTTGGCTTTTGCTTTGTACAGTTTTCTGCCAAATTGTCCCCCATTTCACATAGCCTTCTTCAGCTTATTGTAAAACTTTTCGCATCTTATGTTTCTTTGTGTCTCAGCCTATAGGCCCAACTGGTGCACCAAGAGTGCTGTGTTACTTGAATATCTGGAAACAAGTTATAGACACACAGGATAATTTCCTTGCGGATACTAGCTGTCAGTTACCCACGCTCTTCCCCTCAAGGAAGGTTCCTTGATGTTGGTGAGGGGCTCTTGATTTAGGGAATTGGATCTGTGCTCCAGTTCCCCGAATTAAGCCTGAATGCCTTCCACATCCCCCCCCCCAGGCGCTGTATAATCCTCCGGGTTTAGCGCTTCCCCCTTGATTATAATAATAATAATACCCACGCTCTTACTAACTTATCTGAGGAAAAACTCGTAGCAAGCTATGTGTATGTTACTTCCAGAAGATACGTAAAAGGTATTTAACTCGACTCATGAAATCGTAATGACACGATTGCAAACAAACCATACCACGGGAGGGGTTAGAACCCGCGATCAGAGAGTCATAAAACTCCAGACCGACGCTTTAGCCACTGGGCCAGCTACCTACAATAAGCTTCATCCAGCTAGTTGGATGAATCTTATTGTAGCCAGCTGGCCCAGTGGCTAGCGCGTCGGTCTGTAGTTTTGTGGCTATCTGATCGCGGGTTCTATCCCCGCCCGTGGTATGGTTTGGAAGGTAATTAACCTGACTTTCCTGTATGTTCCCTAACACCAGGTGAACTGTATTCAGTACCTCAAGAGGCGAACACCCCGAGACTTCCAGCACTCACTGGCGACTTTAATCCTTATTTAAACTATGGATGTCCAGGCACTCCTGCTGGAAATCAAAATATCTCTTATCATGCAGTACTGACGATGATCTACCTAGATTCTTTTCTGTTTATGTTGCTAATCTTTAATTTTTTTTTATTTTTGAGATTGGCAATTGTTTAACAAAAGTGTTTTATCTTCTTAGATATATCCTTTTTATTTATTTTTTTTTTTTGTTTATTTTCAAATCTTTGAAGCGATAAAAGTTGTTCCCTGACAGAATACACGCACACAAACAGCCTGATGGACCTAAGTCTGAACAAGAAGACTGCTGGGGCATTGTTCCCCAGAACCAACAAAGACCATATAAACAGGGAACTTAGTGTCTATGCTCCTCTTGCTGTTTAAATGAGTTCATCTGAGTGAACTTAAGCGTTCACCTATCCGGATTTGCTTGAAATTCATGGGTTTGCCTCTTAACTCTCGTTGACTGACTTTACTTATTCCTTTCCCCAATATCTGATCATATATGCTATTAAAACAGTGAATTATTTGCCCCTGCCACATTTTCATTTTCTTTCGTCTAGTACAAATCATCATAAGGTTGTGAGAAGCTCTACATAATGATCCTGTCTCCTAGATGTCATCTATGACGTCTGGCTTCCTCTCCTTGCATCTCAAATACTTTGACGTTATCTAATCTATCCAATCCTCTTGGTATTTTGTACGTCGTGTTCGTGTCCCTACTGGAACATCTCTCTCTTCAGGTTTTGTCAGGTTAAGGTTGTCCATTTAGTTTATGTTCATTTTTCCACTATAATCTACGTTGTCCATAATTACTATCGCATTTTCTTTGTCTGTTTCGTAAGGTGAAGTCTAAGATCTTTACTTAATTCATTTTATAACTTAAATCTATGAGGACAAGTGTCCTCAAAAATTTGTTAAGTTATACCAGGAACTTAGGTGCCCCTTAGCACTGTTCTGGCTGCAAACCTGTATATCTTTTAAAGTTTCTCCGCTTGCGTGATCAAGTCCGGCTCCACGCTGACGCAACTTACTCAAAGATGTGTCTAACGTTCAGGTTGATGAAAGCAGAATAAGTTACCTAGTTGCACAAAAGCCACCGAAGTTATACGTTGTATATGTACATCCTGGCAACATTTGCTACCTGTTCAAGTCTTCTTGCAGCTTCTGTATACCATCCCTAGTTTTTACTTTTCTTATTAATGTCACTTTTCCCAAAACATCGTCCTTCGTGTGGTACGTGGGTCCCTATCATTTGGGATCTCATGGTGATTTCCCGACTTAGAGTGACAGTGTCAGTGCTTGAATAGAGCACTGTGTGATGGCTGAACTGCCCTCCTCTGTCCACTTTCTGACTTAGCGTCCCCATGTACCTCCCTTTAGACACTATGATACAGTCCCATATTTAACCCTGTAGCTGGGCGACGAGCGCTGCCTCTCCCTAGATAATGTAATTCAGAATTCTCAACTCTGAGCCAAAAGTCAAGAAAGTATCAGACATCTTTGGCAGTAAGACCTCGAGGTCGCTGCCCACAGCATGGCTGGCTAGAAGAGCCTCTGAATAAGAAGTAATTATCTTGTTTGGACTTGTGGAGGAAGAGCTGAAAATTTTTGTTTAAAAACTAAAATGCTTCTGGCGACTCGAAATATTTTCACCAGTGTCAAGTTTTCAACTGAAAAATTCGTCCTCTGCATTCCACTTTTTTTGGCTGTGTTCCATTCACTTCGACGAACTGAATTTGTTTCATTTTAAGATCTTTTGGTGTAAATATATATATATATATATATATATTTATATATATTTATATATATATATATATATATATATATATATATATATATATTATATATATAATATATGTCGTGCCGAATAGGCAGAACTTGCGATCTTGGCTTAAATAGCAACGCTCATCTTGCCATATAGGACAAGTGAAAATTTGTGTATGCAATAATTTCGCCAAAATCATTCTGAACCGAACGACAAAAATATATTAAACGTATTAAATTATTGTAAACAAATCTAAAATATACTTGGTTGAGTTAGGCTAAAATAAATTGCACTTGTTATAATAAGGTTAGGTAAATTTTCTAAGTTCCTTTTGGTGCAAAATTATAAATTTTTATATCAACATTAATGAAAAAATATATCTTTAAACGTATAAGAGAAAATTTTAGAAAGGACTTAATTTTAAATGAGTTCTTGCTAATTGACCAGTTTTACATATTCGGCACGACATATATATATATATATTTTATATATATATATATATATATATAATATATATATATATATATATATATATATATTAATATATATATATATATGTCGTGCCGAATATGTAAAACTGGTCAATTAGCAAGAACTCATTTAAAATTAAGTCTTTTCTGAAATTTTCTCTTATACGTTTAAAGATATATTTTTTTCATTAATGTTAATGTAAAAGTTTTTAATTTTGCACCACAGTAAACAGGTGATATCACAATGTGCAGAACAACCACAGTGAAAAAAGTAGCGACATTCTAAGCGCTTTCGTGACTTCTCACATTATCAAGGAACTATATGATATAGTTCCTTGATAATGTGAAAAGTCACGAAAGCGCTTGGAATGTTGCTATTTTTCACAGTAGTTGTACTGCGATTTTGGCTTAAATAGCAACGCTCTTCTTGCCGAATAAGACGAGCGAAAATTTGTGTGTGCAATAATTTCGCAAATATCATTCTGAACTTAACGAAAAAAAAAAAAATATTTCATTGTGTTTATTATTTAATTATTGTAAACTTATCTAAAATATATTTAGTTGCATTTGGCTAAATTAAATTGTCCTTGTTATAATAAGGTTAGGTAAGTTTTCTAAGGCTCTTTTGGTACAAAATTATTATTTTTTATATTAACGTAAGTGAAAAAATATATAGTTTAATGAATAACAGAAAATTTTAGAAAGGACTTAATTTTAAATGAGTTCTTGCTAATTGACTAATTTTACCTATTCGGCACGACATATTTGCACAATGGTTTTACAAGGTTAGGTTAAGGTTCCTAACTTCAATTACTAGCTAAGAGATGTTACCTACATCACTTCATATTAAAAGCTTTCTATTAGTGATGCATGAAAATAGGGAAGACGACAAAGTTATATAATTTACACGAGTGCTTCTAGTTGGAGAGGATTTACTTGGTAATAACTCAGTGTTTTTCTTTATTACAGACGTTATGTATTGATCACAGCGACGAGGGACAGCTCAAAGGTAAAGTTTTAATTGTTCAGATTTAACTTAATCTCTCTCTCTCTCTCTCTCTCTCTCTCTCTCTCTCTCTCTCTCTCTCTCTCTCTCTCTCTCTCTCTCTCTCTCTCTCTCTCTCTCTCTCTCTCTCTCTCTCTCTCTCTCTCTCTCTCTCTCCTCTCTCTCCTCTCTCTCTCTCACACACACCACACACACACACAAACACACACACACAAGGCCAGGAGCAGTAACTCAACCCCTGCAAACACAGACTCGTTGAGTAGACACACAAACAAATGTTGTCATTTCTAATGTGATTTCCAATTATAAATTATGTAGACTAAGACCAGACTAAACCATGAGTGATCCCCTGCACGACGCTTATGCTTCCTCACTGTTCCTCCACGCAGTGTAAAACTACTCGCCACACTTCAGGCTTCCTCACTGTTCCTCCACGCAGTGTAAAACTACTCCCCACACTTCAGGCTTCCTCACTGTTCCTCGACGCAGTGTAAAACTACTCCCCACACTTCAGGCTTCCTCACTGTTCCTCGACGCAGTGTAAAACTACTCGCCACACTTCAGGCTTCCTCACTGTTCCTCGACGCAGTGTAAAACTACTCCCCACACTTCAGGCTTCCTCACTGTTCCTCGACGCAGTGTAAAACTACTCGCCACACTTCAGGCTTCCTCACTGTTCCTCCACGCAGTGTAAAACTACTCGCCACACTTCAGGCTTCCTCACTGTTCCTCGACGCAGTGTAAAACTACTCCCCACACTTCAGGCTTCCTCACTGTTCCTCGACGCAGTGTAAAACTACTCGCCACACTTCAGGCTTCCTCACTGTTCCTCCACGCAGTGTAAAACTACTCGCCATACTTCAGGCTTCCTCACTGTTCCTCGACGCAGTGTAAAACTACTCGCCACACTTCAGGCTTCCTCACTGTTCCTCGACGCAGTGTAAAACTACTCGCCACACTTCAGGCTTCCTCACTGTTCCTCGACGCAGTGTAAAACTACTCGCCACACTTCAGGCTTCCTCAGAGTTTAAAACTACTCGCCACACTTCAGGCTTCCTCACAGTTTAAAACTACTCGCTCTTCCATGGTACTCAGCCATTCACTGATCAAGCCAAGAAGATCGTCACTTGTGCCACACGCCGTTGTTTACTAAATAATCCCCGTTGAGTTTCTTTGCTAAACATGTCTTACGGAAGTCAGGGAAGCCTACGGCCGGTAAGAAATTTTTTGACTTAGTTTATGCAAATGTAGCTGAAACTTTTCAGTAACTTTAAGACAGGATGTTTATTGTAAAAATTATGTTAATATTGAATTGAAGAGTTGTAATGTAGAAAATTAATATCCTTAATAATAGTTTCTGCTAATTTATCCTCAATGACGTTAAATTAATGAGGCAGTAATTAAGAGAGAGAGTATGACCTGTCTCATTTAATGAATATTGGAGTTACATTTGTTATTTTCAAGTCAGGTAGTACTTTGTCACAGTAGACTGATGTCCTGAGTATAACTATCAGTGGCAATACTATGTTATAGGTGTACTATTTCGTCCGGCACTGTGGATTTTCAGTTTCCTAAGGTACATTTATGTAGTTGTCACTGCTGTTAGTGGGTCGACTTTCGTTTTCTGTGAAGAAAATGATATGTGATGTAACCTAGGCACACTACTTGTAAACAAACCACGGAACTGGTGGGGTTTGACCGGCATGGGTTCATACCCTACCCGTTCCGTGTGTTTTTCTAAAGCTAAAGGCAGCATTGACAGCAAAGGTCGTATCAGTATCAATACTCTTCATACACCGTCAGTTTATTATAGAACCAAACCATACCACGGGTGGGGTTTGAACCCGCGATCTGATCGCTGGTTCTAACCCCACCCGCGGTATGGTTTGTTTGTAATCGTTCCATTACGATTTCGTGAGTCAAGCTATTATAAACCCTATAAAAAATATAAAAAATTCTTGCATTTTTGCATATTTATGAAGCAATTTTTAATAATTTTTCATATCCTCTGTAGCTTCATATTGCAAGATCTCGTTTTAACTTGTAATTCTATTTAGGATTTTCCTTCTGTGTTTTGGGCCAATATATCTCCTGCAGTACTCTTTATCTTGTACTTAAATATATTCTACTACTACCACTACTACTACTACCACCACCACCACTACTACTACTACTACCACCACTACTACTACTACTACTACTACTACTACTACCACCACCACCACTACTACTTCCCACCACACCAACCCACCACTACTACTACTACCACCACCAACTACACTACTCACTACCACCCAAATACTACTACTACCACCACCACTCACTACCACCACCACCACTACTACTACTACCACCACCACTACTACTATACACCACCACAACCACCACTACTACTACCACCACCACCACTACTACTACTACCACCACCACCACTACTACTACTACCACCACCACTACTACTACTACCACCCTACTACTACTACTACTACCACACTACTACTACTACCACTCACCACCACTACTACTACTACCACCACTACTCTACCTACTACTACCACTCCTACTACTACTACCACCACTAATACTACTACTCTACCACTACTACCAACTACTAAATACACTACTACCACTACTAATACTACTACTACTACTACCTACTACTTATACTAACTACTCTACCACTTACTACTACTACATACTACCACTACTACCACTACTACTACCACTACATACTACCACTACTACTACCACTACTACACACTACTACTACCACTACCACTACTACTACTAATACACCACTACTACTACCAACTACTACTACTACTACTACTACTACCACTACTACTACCACTACTAATACACCACTCTACACCACCACTACTACCACTACTACACTCTACCACTCCACCAACCACTACTACTACACCACTACTACCCACTACTACTACCACTACTACTACTACTACCACCTCTACTACTACTACTACAACCACCACCACCACCACCACTACTACTACACACCACTACTGCTACCACTGCCACCACCACCACTACTACACCACCACTACTACTACCACCTCTACTACTACCACCACTACTACTACCACCTCTACTACTACTACTACCACCACCACCACCACCACCACTACTACTACCACCACCACTACTACCACCACCACTACTACTACCACCACCACTACTACCACCACCACTACTACTACCACCACCACACCACTACTACTACCACCACCACCACTACTACTAACTACCACCACCACTACTACTACTACAACCACCACTTCTACTACCACCACTACTACCACTACTACTAACACCACCACTACTACCACCACCACCACTACTACCACCACCACCACCACTACTACTACTACCACCACCACTTCTACTACCACCACTTCTACTACCACCACTACTACCACTACTACTACTAAAAACCACCACTACTACCACCACCACCACTACTACCACCACCACCACTACTACTACCACCACTACTACCACCACCACTACCACCACCACTACTACTACCACCACTACTACCACCACCACATACTACCACCACCACTACTACCACCACCACTACCACCACCACCACTACTACCACCACTACTACTACCACCACTACTACCACCACCACCACTACTACTACCACCACTACTACCACTACCACCACCACTACTACTAACACTACTACCACAGCTACTACTACTTTTTCACTATTACCTCTACCACTATTATCACGACTTCATATTATTTCTTGCTTTCTCCCATCCCCGCCTTCCTTATCGTTTATATATTGGCTCCTTACCTTCACGCATCTGTTTGTGACTAGTTAATGGTCCAAGTCGGACCGAAACGTCGTCATAAGTTAATATCTTGTATGGTGAACCGGGCTTTTTAAACCTGAGGGCAGTGTCAGTAACCCTAACCCTTGCATGGGCCAGTAGCCCCTTGTATGGGACTACTGGCCCATACAAGGCAGGTCCTTACCAAAGCTACCCAAGAATTTACTCCCGTACCCTCGACACCAATCAAACCCAGCCCCTCCCACTCATATTGTCCAATCTCTTCTTAAAGCCACCCAAGGTCCTAGCCTCTATCACCCTACTGGGAAGATTGTTCCACGCATCCACAACTCTGTTCGAAAGCCAGTACTTTATACAGTAAATGATTTTAGTCATTCTCTACATGTTCTCCAATGAATCTATATCCATCCTGTAGTAAGGAGATCAAAACTGAGCGGCATAATCCTAATAAGGTCTCACTAGTGATGTATAGGGCTGTAAAATAACTTTTAGACTTCTCTTACTTATAATACTCTTTGCTTTCTCTGTTAGTAAGTCATGCCTCTGTCCATGCTAGAACTTTACCTCCTATACCATGAGCTGCCACTTATCTTAAGAGTCTCTTGTGAGGTACTCTGTTGAAGGCTTTACTGAAATCCAAATAAACAATATCATATTCTTTATCACTGTCTACTGCTTCAGTAAATTTGTCAGGCAGGAACGACCTCTCGTGAACCCATGCTGAGATTCATTAATCAAATTATACTCTTCAAGGTGACTTTTAATAATATCTGCTATAATTGATTCTAATAATTTGCTTACTGTAGACGTCAGACTGATTGGACGGTAATTTGATGAAATGGACTTGCCTCCTGATTTGAATATAAGAACTACATTAGCTATGTTCCACATCTCTGGCACAACACCAGTAAGGATGGAAGCATTAAACACGTTCCTTAATGGCTGACTGAGTTCCATCTTGTATTATTTAAGTACCCAGGAAAACAACTCGTCGGATTTCGGGGACTTGTTTTGTTTCAGTTCATCTATCTGTTTGATAACCATGTCCCTCCTGACAGTAATATTAGTTAATTTGAATTCTTCGGGAACTGAATAATTGTTAATTTCTGGGATCTTATTTACATCTTCCTGGTGTAAAGAGTGACAAAAATAACCATTAAATAGAGAACACATTTC